TACATATAGTTTACATTTGTTAAAATATAATTCAATTTCGATTGTTAATTGGGACGTAATAATTTAGTACGTACCTAATTATTACATACAACATATTATGTACATATGCACCTACCTAATTTCGTATTTTACGAGTAGAATATAAAGCAAGAAACACCACACATTGTTATAAAAATATAATAAATCACACAATATTGATTTTGGCTTAGGAACATTTTAATACTAAATGCAATGAAAAACTTGGATAAATGACATGCGTTCCAATACATAACCGACCCCATTAAATTACACGCATTATTTAACTTCACTGACACGTTGTATTGTTTTATTGCGGAAACTAACATTTTAGAGGTGATATCAATCATTTGATAATATTCATAGGTATGTGGTACAAAAATGAAAGAATAGTAATAAAACAAAAAGCTTATTCTAATGTTGATATTATGTGTATGAAATATATTTTCTTTTCTAGAATGCGAACAACAGATTTCAAAGAGTATTTAATCGACTTTAAAAAATCGGGCTATCAATTTTGTACATCAGTTCTAAGTAATGTATGTGTAGTATTTATATGGTCTAAGTAATTCTTTTCGACTTGCAATATATACATATATTACTTTATTAAGGTTTCTGATTGCATTGTTTGTTTTATGAAAAAAACATTTCTGAGTTATCAGTTTTTTCTAGGAGGTACCTTATATTTTAACATATCAAAATTTTTGCCAGGTCCGCTGGTCGCGGGAAACCGTCCAAGAGACGGTACGTTTTTTCGATCTTTAAAAATTTATTGACCTTTAGCATCAAATTATTAGGGGCAGAAACTTGACCAATTTTAACCGCATATTAATATTTAATTACCAAAAAAAACGCAGTACATACGAGGACATCCAAATTCCTATTGATACTTCCCCAGCTATAACATTTATTCGATTATGACAACACAAATGATAGAGATAAAGTGGTTTCGTTTTTTCTTTGGCACAAGTAAATAAATTGCAATAGGAAACGATCTCTTTGTTCAGGAGTGCGTTGTATAAAATGGTATAAAATGAACTCTAAAATAGATCCGAGGGGAGCAGGCAGGCAACTAGCAGCTTCCTTCCTGCGCGCATCCGGCGGTGGATCTCACGCGACCCCGCTATAGCCCGCGAGCATGGTGGATGACCACCACGCCGCGCGGATAGACCCCCATTACATGCTTGTCACCAGGGTCACTAACCTAGATCTTCTTGCTTTACAGTACATAGTGTTTGAATATTAATGCCTATCTTTCAGTTATTCAAATAAATTATAGGGTAAATTTTCAATCGTATCTCTTTATTGTATTACGCTGTTTCCGCAAATAGTAGAATTGTACATAGGTCAATACAAATATATTTTCCGTATGAGAAAACTTGTGTGGAACGCAGTGTCTAATAATACCACGAAAATTAATTGGATTAGTATTTGTACTTTTCAGTCTTTTACCTTGGTTTGAAAATAATTAAGTAGGTATGTGAGTTACCTATCTAATGTTTAAGCTCTACATTCGATCTATATAAAGACTCAACCATATCTATTAGGTTATCTCTTCATACAGATATCGAAAAGCTAAATTATTGTTTTAAATTAAAAATATGAACTTTTTCATATATTTTGAAAAATATCAGAACTCATTAAATTATTTGATGTTTAGTAGTTCAATTATACCTAATATATAAATAGCCAATATATTAACTAGAGTATGTACAGGAATTCCATAATATAAACACAACTGCATCCGGAAACTAATGAAACAGGTATATGGAATGTATTTCTTCATTTACACCTTTGGCTTATACGATGAGAGATATCAACAACATGCAGGCGTCTCTGTGTCTGGATACTGAGATGCAGTGGTAAATAAATAAAAATACTAACAGGTCCACGTTATTTCTGTACTTAATACCTCGGGTTTTAAGTATCTTATAATGCATAAGATCATTAAAAACGAGGGAAATCCATACTTTTTATTACATACATATATATGAAAGTGTGTTTGTGTCCTTCTAACACGTCGAAAAAGACTGACGGTTTGGCGTGAATTTTTATGTGGAGATAGTTAGAGGGCTGGAGAGTGACAAGCTACTTTACCGCGGGAGGTTATCCCATTCCCACAAGAAAACACGTTATAAAACAAGCCACAACAACTCATAATATATAGTCTACCCACTCCATACCAACCCTTGAAACGTACCCAGGGACGAACGGGGGTGATTCGCTAATTATTTAGGTATAAAACTAAATATAACGTTAATTTATTTTCTTACAATACGTATATTAACTAAATATTTATTATTTATTGTAATAATACAGAAATAACATGACATTTAATAAATATAGGTATCAATTATATTTACTTGATAAGAATTATATTGGCGCCTCCCTCAAGACATCACTGAAGATATAAATGCTTCTATAACGTATTTAGTGACGATAAAATATTTATAAAAAAAGAGAGTTATATCTTGTTTCATCTATATTTAAGCTTTATAGTAATCGCCAATTTATATAAACTCAAATAAAGCACGATCATAAATAAACACAGCTCAAAAATGAATATACATATTATTCACCAACTTCAACAAATTGCTTGACAAAACTTGAATATAAATTATGCTCAAAATGAAATGGAAACAAGTCAATTGACTTCAATCATTTAGTAGAGGGTGGGTGCGCGCCCCGAGTTATGCCACTTAAGTGTTTTTGCGTTGCGCGGGCGCATAAATTGAGCAGACTGATAATTTTGACATAAACCAGTAGTAACTGTCAAAAATTAGGGAGCCCTGCCGTTTTATGTCAATTTACGCATACGCGACAATGCGTATGGATAACGTTGAATAGATATATTAAACAACAAATAGACTTGTATAGTCTGTTTGGGACCACATCGATTTTGTTTCAATTTATGTGTAATTTTTTACCTATTATCTATTTATTTTTAAAGGATAACAAATGTTAATCCTAATGTATGGAAATTATCCTGTTTTGTAACGATACATTGTTGTCTGTTGCGCTCTAGTTCGTATGAATGTAACTAGTTTGTAACGAGCTCTTTATTAACCTATATCCTCAACCTGCGCAACCAGTAGTAAGATGATGTTATCATTATATTTAAATTTTATTTATATATGAAAATGAATAGATATATCACATATTTAAAACACAAGTCCATAAAATAATAAAATATAATATTTGAGTTTGATTACTAAATCTATACATATAATAAAATTCTAACTAAGCCGAATCTGTACATTAAATATTTTTTTGAAAATCTTATTGAAATAGAGTTTATTATCGATACAGAGGCCGAATCTATAGTTTTTAGAATTTTTGTCTGTCTGTCTGTCTGTCTGTCTGTCTTTCTGTCTGTCTGTCTGTTACCGCATCACAGAAAAACCACAGGAGGGATTTTGATGACATTTAGTATGGTGATAACTGCTTATCCAGGTCAACATATAGGATACATTTTACCGCGGAAAAATATCTTATTTCTGAGAAAAAATAGAAAAACTGTAATGTAAGAGTAAACTAATATGTAAAACATAAGAATTTGGTTCTTGATCATCTGAACGCGGGCGGAGCCGCGGGCAATGCTAGTACGTTTATAACAAATAATAATTATAAACAGTACCTACATATAATACTTAGTTATTGTTATAAGTGCGGCTTGGCGAATTTCACATGTCCTTCGAAAACTTGCTAGGTTCTCTCAGGCATGCAGGTTTCCTCACGATATTTTCCTTTACCGTGGTAAGCATGTTGGAAATGATTCGTACATGAATAATAAGTATACCAAATAACATCAGAGGTGCGAGATTCGGAATTTGAACCTACTTCACTCGGTTTGCCAAGCGAGTGTGTTACTATTGGACTACCACTAGTGTAAAATATAACACAATAAAATTTATTTATGTAAAAAAAACATCATTTTCATAACAGTACGTTTTAATTCTTAATTGAATTTATCATTATATCAGGGACAGCGCTATTATGTTACAAGAACGCCGTTTCGAAATGTGTTGCCAAGGTGTCGTCGCAACTTAGTTGGTAGTTATTGTAGAGTATCACTTTAAAAATATTCATAATCTTAATGTATATCATTATCGAGTGTTTTTAAACCACTATTCATTAAATGTCTTATATCGCGTAAAATGTGTCAAAGGTTGACAAGATGTGATTCAGTTATCTTTAAGTAATTATAAACGTAGGTAATTATTTTTGTATAGTAACTGAGCTCTGTAATAATTTATTGAGTGTGTTATTTTTGCAATGGTAAATGTTTTTTCATGGACTAAATAATAAATATGATAATATTAGTGGGGTGAGGCCCGCACTCCCTGGAGGAATTACGTAAAAAGTTACGATTGTGAATCGTGTAATAATTAATTAGATAACCACTTGTGCTCCTAAAATTACCTGAGCATTATAACTTGACGTTCATATACATATATGTACATACGTTCATACGAAGTTATTTCAGCATAAACAATGTGTAACGTAACTGCAATCAATTACATTAATAATATAATATATTTCTCATTAAACACAACTAAGGGTAAATTGTAAAAAAAATATAGGTACGATATAAAAATATCATTAATTTTATATTTCTACTTCATTTCCGTTTAAAATAAAACTACGGTAAAGCAATAAGTTATAAAATAAAAATAAATATAACAATAATAAACTCAACTTATCGATAGCAAAGGGAATTTTACGACATTTGCGTTCGATGTCAACGAACAACATGATATATTCTGACAAGTTAATGCACATTTTGCTCATAAATTGAATTGATAGCGTATAATTGATTTAAAATAAACATTTGTTTTTAATATGAAATTGTTGTCAATATCTTTCATTTTTAATATACATATCGCCTTGACATCTTAATCTTGTATAGCGCTACGGTAGTTCGGTAAGCAAGCTAAGGATTTTTTGGCTTACTTGACTTCCACGGCAAAATTATTCATACTTACTTGCTGTACATTGCAATCAGATCCGCAGCTTACATCGAAGTGCCCATCGCTAGTCCGGTTCTGAAAAAACGTCGAAAGTTAATCGAAACAAACTAAGCAAAAAAACGACAGGTAAAATTGAGGTCTTTGATAATAATCAGGTTGAACATCCACCGGACACCGACCTGATAGCTTCCGCTGTGCACGCGCAACGGAGCGTGCCTGCGCGACATTAGGGCTTGATCGTTGGAGCTGAGATACGTTACAGGAAATAAAGAGACGTCATTAACTATGATGATATAAAAATGTTAAAGATTTAGATCAGACATTCATAGCATTAATTTTTTTTATTATATTTTTAATATAAAGTTTGAATAATTAAATTTATATCGCTAAAAAATTGTTTCCTTAATTTATATAATGTGTTGAAAGTGGTAAAGTAGTTTAAACCGTGTACCAGACAAAAAACTGGTTTGTTGATTTTGTATGAGTTCTTCATTTCAATAGTACCTAAACCTATAATTCTGTATTGAACAACTGTAAAAGCATTACAGTTTAAAAGTCCGATTTTACGAAGCTTACACAACCGTATAACTTTAAAACTCAATTTCAAAATCATTCATTTGCGCAAATCCATGGAACAAATGGAATAAATCTTTAACAGATATTTCTTGTATTACTATCTTATAAAATAAACTTAATATCTTACTGGTGCAGCATCAAATGCTGTTTTTGTGAGGGTTATGAAATCTCTAAAAAAATAAACCACAAAATATCAAATATCATTGTAAAACCCCTGAAGTGCAGGAGTTACCGCCGGTTCCGGTCACACGCTGGCAAAAAGTTTAAAACAAGTTCGCCGTTTGAAATTAATATCCTATTTAATGTATCAAAAAGTTGTTTAACAGATGATACTTGAGTGGACGTTTTTCTGTTAAGTAACTCTATAAAATACACGATTGAAAAGTTCAACAATACGTCATTAATTTTCCATAAGAAAAGTACAATTTAAGAAAAATAAAACTCTTATTGTAGGCATAAGTTAATCATGAATATAATATATTAAAATAAGTCCCTTAAAATATATATGTATGTATTTATTTGATAATCCACAATTTTATTTTTTTATATAATTTTTCATTCAATAACATAATATGACTATTTAGTCAAATCAGTCCCAATATCGCACTAACGTGATTAACTTTACCTTTCATAAAGAAGCTTGTATTTAACAGAGTACTCTGTGGCTACTACTCATCTACATAGACACTAGGTCTTTATAGGATACATCTAGACTTTACAAGACACTAGAAACCCGTTTGACTCAAGAGGTTCCTTAGGTAATTTTATGCAACAATAAAGTATTGACTGGAACCACTTGAAACGCGCGCCGGTATAAAAAACCCATGTCATAAGCTCAGGCCCAAAAACTGTGGTCGATCACAGAGTAACCTCGAATCGTTTGTGCGCAAAAAAGGTATGACCAGCAAGTAAATTTTCGTTTAAAAAAATGTGGAGTTTCATTATTAGCTATAATCTTAAAATGAAAAAGGTAAGATTCCTAGATCTGCCATGCACCAAGGTTTATTTAAAAAAAGTCTAAGGCATCGGCTCCTCAAGTGATAATCCTCGAGGCGCTCCCAAATTAAGTATATATAAAAGTTGAAAATAAAGAATATTGTAATCCTACTAATATTATTAAAAGGCAAAGGCATCTATGTGAAAACGTATGGGTATTTGTTTGTTTCTCTTTCACGCAAAAACTACTAAACGGATTTTGATGAAACTTTATAGTAGCTTATACATCAGGACTATAATTTATATAATATATAGTAACACCAATAATTTATATAATATATAGTAACACCATTTAACCAGCAACGCCAACGCAGACGGCGCTGCGGGAAAACGCTGGAAAATCTAGAATTGCAATGTAAAGCTCTTTAATATCTAACGGTTATTTTACTGTTAAACTATAAGATCTTGTCTCCGAAAATACGATGCTTACAATCTTTTTATCTATACCTACATACCTATAATAAAACTGTAACTGAGTCGAATCTGTACATTAAATATGTTTTGGAAATTTTTTTTTTTTATTATTATTAAAATAGTCATTATTATTTATACAGAGGACGGATCTATAGTTTTTAGAATTTTTGTTTGTCTGTCTGTCTAGGAACGCATCACGAGAATACCACTGTACAGATTTTGATGAAATTTTGTATAACGATAGCTGGTTATCCAGGTCAACTTATAGGGTACTTTTTACTGCAGGAAAACATCTCAATCTCTAAGAAATCTATACTAACTGTTAAAAAGTACATAGGGTCGAACCCGATGGAGCAAGGGTGAGTCGTTAGTGTATACATATATTCTTCTGTACGCGTAATTTTATATCACTGAACTCTCCTAGGGACTGGACCGATTTCGATGTAAGTTTTTGTGTGTTTGTCTTATAATATTTGTTTTATTGTCGAAATCAATAATTATTCCACCCAAACGAAAAGCCAAGTTGTTCTGCGACGTCTGTCGGGTCCGCTAGTTACATATAAAATATCTGTACAATTGATACAATTTGTAAAATATTCTGTTAACAGATTAATAAACAATCCCGCGCATGTTTTTCACTAGGCTGCTGTGCCCCACATTGATTGTATAGTCCAAGGCCAGGCGGGAGTTGGACAATACAGTTGTAGCACGCTTTTCTATATTTAGCGCGATCTCGTTGATTACTAGCTTGCTAATTGTCAACAATTAGTTGTGCGTTGAACCTTCGCTAGCGCCGCCCGCTGCAAGTGAAACGATGAATCGCGATTTGCGCTGATCCGACAATAGATTAATTCTATTTGAAATGAACAGCTCTTTTGCCAGTATGACATATTGGCCGCCCTCTTGCGATAATAATTATGTGAATGATCATAATATGAACGCTAATAACGAACAGAGATACAATATTTGATAACCTTTAAGTTAAAGTTTTATTACATTATTTCTAATGAAATAAAGTAACAATATTATTTGTACAGTTGGTATAAATATTACAAAAAATAGACGTTAAATATAACGTGGTCTTATAAAATTACATAGTTATACTTTAAGTAAAATAAAAATCGGTCTCGATAGTGAATTATATTTTAAGCTATTAGAAATATTAGGAAATGATATGCAAAACCGACCTGGAAAGGACATTTTTCATTGCATCGAGCCACGGCTTCCGCTCCAAATTTCTCGGCGATGGAGATGTAATCGCAGTCAATTGTGTGAGCGGACAAAGCCAATCCGAACAGCGACCACACTAGCCATTTGTGCCAATTCTGCGGCGGACTCATTGTGCCCGCCGCCGAGCGTCACTGCTTACGATCACACAAAAACACTAAACATGACTTATTTATATTGTTTAATTTCATAATATTGTCATATTAATCCATATTTTTAGGCACACTTAAAAATCACTAGTTAAAATTTTTATTGTGATATATTTTTAATTGTGCTATATCGCACGCAATTCGAAATAACGTTCGTATTTAAATAGTTTAGGCGCAGTGCGACGTGTTGTTAATATGCGCGTGCGCAGCAAAAGCTACTCGTGTACTGAGTGCGCCCGCCGTCAAAACGTCCGCGCTACGACGCCGCTACGCTTGGGCGCTACGCCTATAATTATCCTTTACCTGTTGTCATTTCGTTTGATTTTCATTTACATATGTATTAAATAATAAAAATTAATGAACTATTATGATTAGTCAAATAATGCATTTATTTGGTTTACTTACTTACAGGTAGAGCATTATTAATTGTAGTTTAATACATTTATCTACTGAAATTGTTTTATTTGATCATGATTGACTTATAGATTTTTCTGACCGTTTAATTTCTGATCCTTGATATTAGCCAATCTTAATACTTTGTGTAGTATAAAAATACGACCTGGTAAAATATCATAATATTTAAGATAAATTTCATTTTTATACATTAAACTCAAATACACATTTCTATGTATATTGTATATACTGATAGTTATATCAATATAAAAAACACGAGCCTAATGAATTATTCATTATAATTGATATAATCTATAAGATTGATACTATTTCGTATCATTGACCTCAAAGGAACTAATGTCCTAATATAATAGTTTATGTTGCTTTACATCAGAGCGAACAAGGCCAGCACTGGATGGTGGATCCTAACACCGCGTTCAATTAGTTAACTACCAGACTTCCCACGCTATAACTAACTGCATTCCACTTGTAAATGATTTCATCTCTGTTTCTAGGTTTTATGAAGATGCTACTTTCGTTTATTTATATTATTGATTGGAAACTTAAGAATCTAAACTAAATTATAGCATAAATCTATCCAATAATTAATTTCTTAAAATTACTTAATTGACATTACATATAATCAGATTAATTAAAACACATTAACTTTTTTATTTATTTTTTAATAAATACGGTTGGTTAACCAAACCCTTTTAAATAAAACTATCTTTTCAGATTTTTTTGCGGATTTCACGGGAGAGACTGTCAGTTCAGTCTCTCCCTTGACCATGATTGCTGTAAAGCATTCGAAACGTCGGGAACCAAAAATCCAAATAAATCCGCGAAAAAATCCGAAAATATAGTTTTATTTAAAATGTCAAATATTCGCGTAAATCTAAGAAAGTATTATGTAAACCGTTTTAGGAATTAGAATCAGTGTAAATAATTATTGATGATGATGTTCTCCTGACCGATTCCGGCCACGGCAGCCAATCTTATTGAGACTAGCCATCTGCGCAGGAGATATTATAGTGCACAAGTGTACGCGCAGACACAAGTGCACTCTCTATTCCTGTCACTCTTATACTCCGGTAGGACGACTGCTCGACACGACCGGTAAGAGTTAAGACGCATAATTATTACCTATGCCTCGGAGACCACGTAAATCCGTCGTTCTTGCACCTGATATCTCTCACTGGTGGTGTCGAATTATTGTCCCATCGGAATTTGAGAGTAACAAGAATAAAGAGTGTAGTGTGTGCACTTTTGCACTACATATTCTACGCAGTTGGCTAGTCTTCGTAAGATTGGCGGCAATGGTCGAAATCAGTCGGGAGGACATCATTGTGTAATTTATGCTATACAAAATATAAATTGTAATCAAGCTACAGATGAAAAATTTAAAAAAACGACTCCATTGCTTGCAATGTCTGTTATTACCAAAAATCATGCCATGTACTTATTTTCAATGTATTAAAACTACGAACATCGGTTTCATCTATGAGTGTCTTTTCAAAAAAAAATTAAAATCGGTAAGGTTTGTTTTCTTTTTGTTATTTTTGTTATATTGTAAGAATAAGAAATGGATAAGCTTCAAATGTGTTGTGGTTTGTGTGTTTAGGGCATATAATATAGGCCATAGGGTAAATGATATTATGAAGCAGCCAATCATCTTATGAAATGGTAGCATTTTACAATAAAAGCATCTATCTATACTGATCATATCATTTAATGTTTTACTTTTTATTATTAGACCCACGACGTTTGGCCATTTCGTTTGTTATAGACACAATTTTATATTGTATGCATAACTGTGAATAGAACGGGATATTGATTCTATAAAAAAGATCTAACGAGAAGGCTTCTCACCTACCATAATAGGTACAAGTCGGCTCTATCGTCGAGTATTAAGCAAGAATATAATTCATAAACATTTCTCTGCGGCTGTGAAATTTCCTAAAAACGTTCCTGATTTGTGAGACAAAATTTCTCTTGAATCTCAACACTTTGGTAGCAAGTTATAGTAAGGTAATCCCTATAAGCTTTTGTAATTTAAAAACGCTCCTCGATAAAAAACATTCTAGAACTTAATAGTCAAAATTCTTCCTGCCCATTAACACTATAATGAGACACACCTCGCTAGATATTTTTATTACACAGTAGCACAGATCCTATAATACTATACTAGACAGTAGCATTATTTATATAGAAAAATTGACTTACCCTTGCTTCGCTCGGGTGCGCCTGTAGGTGTCTTTTTGCTATAGATTTTATTACTTTTCTTGAACCCGTTTTGTAACGCACGCCGGTTTTAAGGATGTTAGCACGATTTCTGTAAAAAACAGTTTTATTGAAATAAAAAATTGCCTGTAGCACTCGGTGGGTAACGTAGCTTCCTATTAATGAAAGAATTCTCAGAATCAAATCAATAGTTTCAGAGATTTACCTGTCACATGAAAACTTTACCTTTTTAAAATATTAGTACTGACTAGTGACTTACCCACGCTTTGCTTCCCATGTGCCTAACAGTAGCTTGTGTTATTCGAGGTCATCATCATATTCTATCTGCTAAGATTCATCTAAATCGGTTCAGCTAAAGATAGGTAATAGTCGCTCGGTTATTGTTGTTGACAGTTTACGGAAATAAAAATAACACGTGGAATATTATATTCTAAATTAAGGGTATCCAATAGGGAATAAGCGTGTGATTTAAATAAAGGTGAAATATTTTTTTTATTATCTTTATTGCGTTTGCTTTTTTCACACCGACAGATAAAAAGCGATAGGATGAAGTTATAAAAATTCAAAATTCAAAATATGTTATTCAGTCACACCAAGCGCGCGAAAAGGCAGGCGTTTAAAGCATTAAGCAACTTTAGTTTTTTAGAGCTGGATATTTTTTCTTCAAATTAACTATATCACGGTGTTAGCTTTTGTATAAAAAAACATGAATATTCCCTGTTTATTTGTATTTTTGTCTAAGTCTTGAAGCTTGCTGACAGAGCTCAAGCATTTTAAACTTTTTCTTCTTCATTAATAAAATATCGATACAAATAACGCCATCTATTGACATTTAATTAAAATATTTTTTCCTTGTTCCTAATGAGATCCTAAGATTTAGAACATTTTTTTTAATATTTGCAGCCTTTAGGTGGGTCAGTTCAACTAAAACAGTTTATGATTGAGTATTATTATTAAATAAGATTTGTGAGTAATAAAAGTAACAACGCCATCTGTTGTAGCTTGTACATAAATATGCATAGATAAATAAAAATGACAAGTAAACTAGATCTTTTTACGAAATTTTCCTTGTACTAACTAGATGGCGTTATTAGTACAAAATTCCGGTCTCTTTAAATAGGTTTGTTAATCTAAAAAATAGATGGCAATACTGAGTTACTTACTATTTATTACTGAAATAATATTTATGTTGTTACTGAATGCGTCAAGCTAAGATGAAAAGTCAATATGCGTCGTAACGTATTTATTTATATTAATACTAGCAGAAGCCGCGGCTACGCCAGCGTTCAATCTACAAAAAAACTCTTTGGCTTTATGTTATACAGTGTCTCACTCTCACTTCGCTCGGGTTCGTCGCTATGTATTAATCTAACATTGTTCACACAAAAATACTAAAACTGCGATTAAAAAATGGGGAGTGGAGGTAGGAGGGTGAAAAATACTTTACGACCTATTCTCACACCTACCAAATATACTTACTTATAAAAAAATTATTAAAATCAGAAACACCGTGACACGCGATATATACTTACTACTTGTTAGATGTATTGTATCTACAATTGACATGTATCTTTAATTATTACTTATATCTGCCTAATTTATGTACCTATCGTTGTGTTTGAAAATAAGCGTCATCGTTACGTCCGCTTAAAGACGTAAACATTTTTTATTTTTGGACTTATCCACATTTTATATTTAAAACGCGTGCGCAAATGCATCAGGTCCGCTTAAATAAATAATTCATAAGTTTTGTTTTTTAAGTTTTGGCTCAGAAATAGTTAATAATGGCCCATCCTGTTTTTTTACACTTAACCCTTATTAGATAAGAAGTTGTCGCTGATTTTGTTGTTATGTTTTTAAAAATCTTTATGTATCTCTAAATGTTAATCTAAGTCTTTAAATTAAATCTTATTTAATGTATTCACATAATAAATATATATTTTTTATAATTATTCTTAAAAAATAAAAAAAAACAACAAGACTAGGTTGTAAAGTTTGTTTTGTTCATATATTTTAGAACGCTTTATTTAGCATAAAAAAAATTACATAAGCCATGTATGGTTCAAAAATAAAGTTTTTTTTTCTAGGTAAAAGTACTAAAATATTGTAACCTAATATTATTACAAGGCTAATGAGTAATTTTACTTTAACTTAGTTTTATAAAATAATATATCTAAGAATGTGTCCAATGGCACTTTTCTTAAAGTCTCTAGTTAAGGCGAAGACACTATATTATTATTACTTTCACTACATTACACTATTTTTTTAACACTACACTAACTCAAAAGGTTTAGTTCTTTTGAGCCTTCTCACTATGTCCGTGTTGTCGA